GGGTGTACACTTGGCCCAGTGGGAATACCTACAAGGGCTACTGGTCCCAGGGGAAGCGGCATGGGCTCGGTGTGGAGAATAAAGGAAAGTGGATGTACCGCGGAGAGTGGAGTCACGGTTTTAAGGGTCGGTACGGTGTCCGGCAAAGCCACAACACACCTGCTAGATACGACGGTACCTGGAGCAACGGGCTGCAGGATGGATATGGGATCGAAACCTATGGCGATGGCGGTAAGAAACCCTGGCTTATAAATACGCTTCAGTGTTTGTTTAACGTGTGTATCGCTTTAACGGCTATGACTGATGGTGTGTTATGTAGCCCGTGTGTGTGTGTGTGTGTGTGTGTGTGTGTGTGTGTGTGTGTGTGTGAGAGAGGATGCTCCGACTCAAACCGAGGGAGGCTAATGGAAACACATCAGTGCGTGAATCTACATCTCATATGATCTGAGTTGAGGAGCTGAGATTGCGCACTGCTCGCCGTGGTCAGGCGCACCATCATTTACCCACCCCCCAAAAAACTATGACTTATCACCTTGCTAATCTTAACAGGCTGCATACAGTTTAAGATAATGGTTCCTCTCTTATTCCATCTCATTTGGCAACTACCGGTTGCTCCTCATATGACAGTGGGAGGAGGGTGACTCCTGTTGCCAGCACAGTGGCAACATGCCCCGGCTAGAAGGAGTTTGGAAATCACAGCAAATCAGTCTGTTTGGAGCCAATTATAGCCAGACTATCACCTACTTCTCTGTCATTTTCACATTTGAACCTTCGCTGCAGTAGCATGCCTCTTCAAGAGTGTATCTTTTTGCATAAATGACAACATTTCCAATGGAAAGTAACATGTTTAACACATTTTCTTGTGAGAGTGCTGTGTTAAGTAGCAGTTAAGTAATTCTGAACACCTGCTTTTAGGAAACCCAGGTGCACCTGCATGGAAAAAGGTTTTTCCAATTTCTATATAACTTCATAAACTTAAGATAGAAATTTCCACAGTGCTGAAAATACACAGATATCATTTATATATTCAGCCATGTTAAGTCATACACAGGACACACTCTTGGACCGGCTGGTCAGTGCAAGCCTCTCCCAGAGCTTTGATCTCACTAATTGGTGGTGCGTTCACAGATTGTCTAGAGACCTGTGTGATCAGGGAGGAAACTGAGAACTGGTTCCAAAGTGTCCAATCCATCGGAACCGTATGCCTCCAAGTTTATAAGTTCTGTTTGTCAATGCTGGCATGTTTTTCTGACAGTTGTACAATGCAAAACAATGACGTCAAACTGCTGTAAACTTGCAGGAAGGAGTCAAGGTGGAGCGAAAGAAACGGTCCAAATCATGGCTTTATTTCACATAGAAAGATAGTTGTAATGTCTGCAAAATAATCTCAAGTAAAGGTGAAAACACCAACAATATGCTGAATCATCACTTAAATTACAGGAATTCCATGTTTATGACACTTTATGACACTGAAAACCTGTGTAGGCACATTATTTTTTTCAGAAGGTCAGCAAGGGAATCTAACAATTACATCGGTATCAGTAATCAGTAATCTTATCCTTATGCCATCCCTACCGCAAACACAAGTGCTTGCGAGCAACACAGAAGGCCTGTCACAGACAGTCCTCTCTGGTTATAAAACATCCAAGTCCTTGGGTGATTTGCGAGCATCATCTCCACTAACAGAGGCCTTATGGTGCAGAATAAATGCCTCACATATGACAGTTACAGAGGGCTGGGCTTTGGGAACCAGCTGATCCTAGAGGATCTACAGAACATCTGGCTGTCTGACCCCGCAACATCCTGATAACTTGATCTGCAGGGTCACCAATTTGAACTGCAGCGCAGAGCCAGCCTGTTAATCTCACACTGTTTATCCATCTAAACTCCTGCCTGGGCTAGTATATCATTTTCTGTTAGAATCTGACCATTATGGCTCACTTCATTGTATTGGTCAATGAGATTCGAGTGCAGGATCAACAACCCTTTCTTATTATTAGGATCAGGATTGTAATATGATGCTCTGAAGAAGCTACAGTAGGCCAGCACATGCTCATTGGGCTCAGCAGCACCAAATGGGATTAATGAAGTATTCCTCTCATTATGTGACTCATAGCAATTCCCTGCCGTCAGAGACAAACGGATGGTGGTGAATGTGCCTACTGTCAGTGGGGGAGTTAGTGGCTGCCTGAAAATAGGCTCCTAGTTGAGTGATTCACATTCATCCCAAGTGATCCTCAGTATCAGTATCTTAATCAAATCTCTGTGATTGAGTTAGTTATACTCACAGTCCCAGATCTGAGGGGAAGGAGAGAAAACATTTCATTGGCTGAAATACTCTGCACCCCTACAGTAAGGCTCCTCTGTGTTCCTGCTGTTTCAAGGATTAAGTGCTGATATAGAGAATATCCGGCCAGCAATATGCAAGGTGTACAACACAGGAAAAAAGAGAAACTTTGTAAATGTCAATGTAAAAGTGCCCAAATACAGTAAGTACAAACTCACTCTAAGTATGATGGGAAATGTTACCCTGGTATGATTTAAAAGCATTTGCAAAAATAAGGTTAATCTTTTCAGACCTGCGTATCTTCAAATATTCAGCTGTTATGAATGGTGATGGTGGAAACCATGAGGAGCCCTTTAAATCATTTTGTCTTGTTCAGATAGTCGGTGGAAATCCTACACCGCAGCCTTTTTTATGCTTATACACTGTTTCAATTGAATTAGATTAAAGACATCCCATTTTTGGAAGTGGGCCTGGTGAGACAAGCAGACTGTACACACAAGCAAAAAACAGACACAAGCAGCACTTTTAGTATACATTTGCATATTAAAATCATAACTTCTGGTTGTTCTTTATAACACAAGCCAGTTCTTACTGACAAACTTTTGTCACCTTACATATTTTCATTTACCTACCGCACTTACCTCTTTACCTGGTAAATACAGAATTTGAAATTAGAAACTTGAGAGTGTTTTTACTTTTTAATGTCACGTTACAAAAAATGTTTTTGCATTGGTATGAACTTTTCGATACTGTGTTGCATTATTTTATCCTATTTAGCAGTGGTTCCCAACCTTGGGGACAGAGCTACCCCAGAGATTAACCTGAGGGGCATCAAGATGAGTGACATACAGGATAGGAAAGAAGGCAAAACATACTTCTGCTTCACAAAATAATGTTTTTTCTGACTTTTCTCTAATCTTTAATTTCATGTAAAGAACTGAAAAATTACTCAAATGAAACAATCCACTCTTTGGTGGAACTACTCCATAAATCCATTGACATACGCATGTGACAAGAGGTCACAAGCAGGTAACGCTTCCTTTAAAGGGGCCATGAAGTAAAAATGCTGTGAACCACTGCTTTATTGGATCAGATGTATACAGTAGTTGTGTGAGTAGTGACTATAATGACTCACTGACTCATGTCTACCTATTCCTCAGGTACCTATCAAGGCCAGTGGATGGGTGGAATGCGGCATGGCTACGGCGTACGTCAGAGTGTACCCTATGGGATGGCCACCGTCATCCGCTCTCCTCTACGCACATCTCTGGCCTCCCTGCGCTCCGAGCAGAGCAACGGCACAGTGCTCCAGGACCTCTCATCCCCTGCAGACACGCCAACAGGCAGCCGCGGCGGCTTCGTCCTTAACTTCCACTCAGACAGCGAGGTCGTCACTGGCAAGAAGAAGGGCCTGTTCCGCCGGGGTTCACTGTTCGGCAGCCTCCGGCAGTTGCGCAAGTCTGACTCTCGGACCTCAATCTCCAGCAAGCGCAGCTCTGCACGCAGTGATGCCGCTATGAGCCGCATCAGCTCCAGTGATGCCAACTCTACCATATCCATCGGTGACGGCGAGCTGCCAGATGAGGACTTTCCTCTAGAGGACCATGTGGATGCCACCACGACTGAGACCTACATGGGCGAGTGGAAGAATGACAAGCGCAATGGATTTGGTGTTTCAGAGAGATCCAACGGGATGAAGTATGAGGGAGAATGGCTTAACAACAAGCGCCATGGTTATGGGTGCACGGTTTTCCCAGATGCCACCAAAGAAGAAGGGAAGTACAAAAATAACGTGCTGGTGCGTGGAATAAGGAAGCAGTTGATTCCTCTTAAGAACCCCAAAACCAAAGAGAAGGTGGATCGGGCTGTGGAGGGCGCACAGAGGGCTGCAGCCATTGCCAGGAGTAAAGTGGAAATAGCAGCTTCAAGGTACTTTGTTCATGTGTGTGTATGTGTTCATTCATGCTTCTGTATGTGCATGTGGGTGTATACTGTGTTAACACAGAAAAGAAAGGGTGAACATCCTTGTGGAGTTTATTTTCAGCACTGAAGAGTCAGAGCACTGGCCTGTTTGACAAATATCTCCAGGTCTGATTGAAGGTTCAGTCTTGTGTAAGTGGAGTCCCATGACAACAACTCCGACCTTTATACATCACCAACAGTCAAGGCTTTTGTGTAGCCAGTGTGATCATCCCTGGAAAAGGTTCTGTTTCTATTCTCTGCCCATATCTTTCATTCCCAGGGAGAGGGGTTTGGCATCTTGCATGTGTGTGTGTTGGTCTGTGAATGTGTGTGAGAGAGATTTGTGTGCCTCAGAGTTCATGTGCATGAGCAGTATAGCCATACCTGCGTCCATGCCAAATGCGTCTCGTGTGCCCAATAACGATACCTGCTCCTCCTGCCAAGTATTGCTCTGATGTGGCATCTGCTCTTTAACAGGTGGATGAGATGTGACCTTTTCCTTTAAAGCCTCCCTCCTACTGGGACACAGTTCAGCGTACGCAGCATCACTTTGACATCCTCTGGTTTCATTGCATCAGGGAATTATTAGACTCAAGACTGTGAGGATGTGTACAAGCTGTGAAAAGGTCTCTATGCAATCACGCGTGTTTTGATTTTTCCCCCCTCCTCTCTATCTCTCTCTCTCTCTCTCTCTCTTTCTCTCTCAAGAGGTGCACATGAATTTGCATGCATGAAAGCACATGAACAACAATTTATAATACGCCAAAGCAAAGACATGTTTATTGTATTTCTGTTTCACACACATACTCAACACAAAGAAAATGGACACTCATACTCACACAAAGTTTGAGGCTGTTCTGTGAGCACAGTGGTGCTTTGAGCTAAATGTTAACGTCAGCATGCTGACATGGTCGCAGTGACAATGCTAAGATGCTGATGTTTAGCACGTGAAATATTTACCTTGTTGTTCATTTTAGTTTGGCCTGTTAGCACTAAACACTCTTTGCAGGTGTTTGGTCATAAACCAAAGTGCTGGACAAATTTAAATTTGACCTGATGATGACATTTTAAGGGATCATCAAAGTTATTATGATTCATCATCCAGGAATTCATCGTCTTCTTTTTTTGTATGACAATGAATCTGGTAGCTGTTGATAGGATAGGTGAAAACTGCTGGGGGAGGGGTCACAATAAGAGTCAGGGGACCACCTTTAGGATTAATTCCCCTGGGAATCATGAATAGTAGTACCATGGCAAGCCATCCAATCATTGCTCAGACATTTCACTAAAAAACTTAAACAGAAATTTCAAAATGTCTCATGGTGGTGCTACTCATCAGTCAGTGTGGTTCATCCACTGGGGGCAATGAATGAGTGTTTGTAGAAAATATCTACTACCCATCTGATTCTAGCTGAGACATTTCACAAAAAAAGTTTTAAAAAAATCACCAGGGGATCAGGGGATCACCAAGGTTAGCATGGTTCATGGTCTGGGGATCATAAAAGTCTGTATATAAGTTTGTGGCAGTTCATCCAGTAGTAGCTGAGCTATTTCAGTCGGGACCAAAGTGGTGGACTGAACCACTGGCATGGCTATAAAATAGTTTTAGGATTTATCTTGGCTGCTGTTCTGATATGCAAAACAATAATAAACCATTACTCTGTGCTTTGGTAATTTATAATGAGTGTCATTATTTTAACATTGCTAGACTAAATAATTAATCAACAATCTTTTTAAACTCAACAAAATATCCACACTCAATACTATAAAACACTGGAGTATTTTTGAATATTTGGACTCAGAGCTGCACCCAGCCATTTACAGCAATACAGTCATAGCAGACTCTGTGAATAGCAGGCTTTGTTATAATATCCAGACATTCTTTTAAAATGTAATAATTCCTTTCTGGTGAGCAGGGAGAGAAAATGCTTTATTCCGCAGATTTCAAGGATATAAGATACAAAGATTACATAATATGGATTTAACATGCTTAATATTCAAACTCCTGCATACTGTTTGTTCCACAGATTAGACCTATATCTGTGTCAGTTACGGCAAGTGAGGTTGAGATAAACCTACTGGGTAAAAGAGAAAAAATGGATAATGTGTTGAAAGAGAGGCTCTTTGGTTGTGCATTAGAGCAACAATTTAGAGCCAAAGGATACACATGACCTGATGCATAGCGCTAAGGCAACAACAGTAAAAGCATTCAAGCTGATACAAAGTGTTTATGGCAGCAAACAAGGTCCCCTGTACTGTAGTAAGTGATCAAATTACTGCCTGGTACGTGCCAATCCATCATGTGCTGCTGGAAGTCTCAAGCTCCTCCGTTCTCCTGACTGAAGTCGAGATTTTTTCAAATCGAGGCAGAATTTGTGCTACGAACAGCTAGAATGACAGACTGTGACGGCTGTGTGTAAGCAGGTTATGTAAGTCTCATTATACAGTGCATGGCAAAAGATGCACTCGTATCGATCCAGTTCTGGTCACATGACTCTCTGTCTTTGAAAGTGGAGCGTACCCGGTGGATCCACGGGGGAGTGAGGGGAGGGAGACGGAGTTGGTGGATGAGACAGAGAGAGTGAAAAATTGATTGAAGTGAGAGAACCAGGGGATAAATGTTGATTGGATGAGATGGGGCCGGCGGGGGGGGGGATGCAGCGACTTTGCTGAGTAAGAGGTTTCTGAGGAGTCTGGAGTGGACAGAAATGAAAGGGGAGCAGAATTTAAAAAACGGCACAGAGGGGAACACACCCACCCCTCCCCTGTGAGTTACTGTACAGAAGCGCTATCCCATCAGCCTCTGGGGTGGAGCTGATGACCTCATGCTTGTGATCAGCCAATCAATAGAGAGCTAGTGTGATGAGCTGGAATGGAGCTCTGTGTCTGTGACCCCCATTCACTCTTATTTTGTCACCCTTATCTATTTAAAATGGACTTCCACACACAGTATGCTCTTGTGTCCTTGTGTGTGTGTGTGTGTGTGTGTGTGTGTGTGTGTGTGTGTGTGTGTGTGTGTGTGTGTGTGTGTGTGTGTGTGTGTGTGTGTGTGTGGGTGGGTGGGTGTGTGTGTGTGTTTGTTGTAGTTGTGTCAGAGGCCTGTGAAGTGAGATAAGTGACTGTGCCATTGAAACGTTTACAGTGTCATGGTGCTTCTCCCATAAAGCCTTTTTGTTACAGATCAGCAGTTTAGGTATCCTGGTGGCTCAGTGGTGTGTCCGTATATACATTGTGTAATCCACTGTAATGGCCTTTGTTACACCTCAACTTTTCCGTCACTCACTATGCTATCTCACAAAAGCAGAAGTCTTAAAATGAAGTACGTCAAGTGTCAAAACGACCTTACAAATGCTACGTGTTAGTTTAAATGTCTACACATGAGTTTAGCTACTTTTAAATGTTGATTTTCTGTACTGTTTTATCTGACCTTCCCTTTCTCGGGTTAAGTTGATTAAGCACACTTCCACTATGATGCTCAGAATGATTAAAATGCCAAAACAAACATACTGTGTGCCAGTCTGAGCATGGAGGCCAAGTGTGTGTTTCCATTTGATAGCACTGTTTGCTCTGCAGGCTCTAGTGAAAGGTTAACCAACACCTAATATGCAGGTCCTCCGGATATAGGAAAGATATTTATATGATGCTTATTTTTTCTTCCCAGCAATCAGCAAAAAGTTGAGACTAATGATATTCAGGACTGCTTAGAGTGTTTATCCTCATCCCATTTTTACCGCTGCCAGTGAAGCTGTTTTTGTCATCTGTCACACATATGAAGAGATTTACATTCAGTTTGCAGATAGGACAGATAGGTCACTGGTTAAGAAACGGATTCAAACTGGTGGTTTTGGAATTGGATTATCCAAAGCATACATTTAGCGCACTTGATTCCAGGTTGACCACAGGCTAAAAACCAAACAGTGAAGAAGCTAAATGTCTCATACTTCAGATCAGTATTTTTCACAAAATGGTTAAAGTCTTTATACCAAATGTTTAAAGAGTAAAAATGCTTTTTGATTATGATTTGATGATGATTATAATTGTTGGTGAAAATATGAAATTAGAGGTAATAACATGGTTCAAACTCACACTTTTACCTTATAGTTACTGCTATAATATGTGGTTTCTTTGTACAGTGTTAAATTTGTTTAATTTATTGGGTAATTAGGCTGAAAGCACAGAATATTTTGAAGACAGAAAAAAATGTTGCACTGGTTTCATATTACGCTGTTATTGAAAACTTTTGCTCAAGTTTAATTTCTTTGTTAATGTCTGTACTCAACATAGGAAGCTAGCAACTGTACAAGTTAGTTCTAAAACGTTAGGTGCACATGTGCATGTGTACCCATGCTCTCTCTCTCACTATCTCTCTCTCTCTCTCTCTCTCTCTTACACACACACACATACACACACACACACACACACACACACACACACACACACACACACACACACTCGCAGACACACAGACTATCTATATGCATTCACTTAATCAGAACTCACCTCTCTCCACACAGGAACACCTCTCTCTCACACACACACACACACACACACACAAGACAAATGCATACAGTGAGAGTGCATGCTGTGTGTGCTACTCTGCTAGTGTGTCAGCAGTGAGTACTGACTAAATAAGGCAAGGCATCAGTTGGCTTATCAGCACCAGCCAGGAATATATACCCGTCCCACCACTGATATAGCAGCCCGCCATCTCACTCACACTATCATCTCTCCCAAATGTCTGTGTATGTGTGTTAGGTGTGTGTGTGTGTGTGTGTGTGTGTGTGTGTGTGTGTGTGTGTGTGTGTGTGTGTGTGTGTGTGTGTGTGTGTGTGTGTGTGTGTGTGTGTCTCATATAAATGCGGGAAAAAGATTTCAAGAGAATGGGGGAAACTCTGTTTGGATATGAGAGATGAGATACAGTTTGCTATCATTTGGCAAGAGAACAGAGAAAAGTGTGTGCAGTGTGTGTGGTGTGTTTGTGTCCAGGGGTGTTTGTTTATCACCTGCTGTGTGATGACCTCAGTCACTCACCACCTGCCCTTTTTGGAGAGAGTTATAGATCGGCCTGTGTTTCAACATGTGAACAAAATAATCCCAACCCGGGGTACATCACGTAAGATTCCATCTTGGCTGTCCTCGATAGCGATGACTTCTCCTGCTCCAAATAGGGGCAGAGGTGCAATTGGGTTAATTTTTTCTGCGTCTGTGCATGCGTGTGTTTTGATCTTGCTGCTGGTTTTTATGAAGTGGCGCCGCGCACCTTTCAAAGGTATGTCAAGTTTGTCTCTTTATAAAGTGACAAAATGTACAGTAGCAATGAAGCAGTGTACAGTAACAGGAGGAAGGACTGCCAGCCCTCTAAATCACAAGTCAGAGTAAAGCAATCCACATCATACAGTATATTTATCCCCAGACATGTCTTTTATTTATGGCAATGTGATGGTGTGAGGTAACACAACATTTATTTGCTGACTGAATCAAATGCTCATACACCCACATGCGCACACACACACGTAAAATGACCGGCAACATGTCCCTCATTACCTATTATAAGTAGAATTAATGACCAGAGTAATTGCCAGCTTGTACATACGAAAGAGCTATAAATAAGTAGCTGATGCAATGGTGGAGTTAGTCGAGCAGTTTTCAAAATGACCCACAGTGCAATCAAATTACAGCGCGTAATGTATTCTTATTCTGTGCTTCAGCACATTATCATCATATAAAGTCATAGTTAGCAGCCTGAAAGTTGTCCGTGGTTAAAATCATGGAGGCAGTATAAGTAGAGATGGTAATGTTGATTGGTCTGTGCACCACTTTGGTCCAGACTGAAATGTCTCAACAAATTTTGGGTGGATTGCCGTGAAATTTTGACATCCAAATGATTTTGATGATCCCCTGACTTTTTCTACCATGGGGAAAACATATGCATGTCTCTCCCGTGTAATAACTTTGGTGATCTTGGTGAACTTTGGATGCTCTTTTGGTAGATAAAACATGACCAACTGCCCTTCACGATGGCCCAAATGTGCAAGAAAATGTGATAAAGTGCCCTCTAGGGAGCTCTTCCAGTGGAGAAAATGTGATGTCCTTTTTATTTTTTTCCCTCCACCCCCTCAGACAGTCTGTGTCCGCCACCAAACACCAAGTACCTGTAAAACAAATGACATTCAACCTCAGCTGTACTAATTAGTTAGCACACTAACACCCTAAACTAACACGGTGAAAACAGCAAATATTATACCTCGTAAACATCAGCATGTGAGCATTCTTTTTTTTTCATTAATAGTTTAAAGAGCCAAAAAAACAAAACAATTGTTTTTATGTTGTACATAACCCTACTGTACAAACACTACATCCCTTAAAATAAATGACTAAAGCAAGAAGTCTGGTGCATCTGCTGCTGTTGATACAGGTTATGATGCCATACTACATAAATAGGAATCACGTAGATAGAAGGTGGAGGACTAAATAGGCTACATTTTCTGACTTACACTTAGACTGCATAAAAAGCTTTGTTCCTGGGGGAGTAGAGGAGAATAGCCTGTGGGAGATGGCTGTGTGTAAATGTGAGTGAAGCGCTGGGCTGTGTCGACAGCAGTGGTGATAGGATTGGGTTTCACCAACATGCCATTACACTGTGTCGCTGTGGCTTGTAATCTCTCTGAGAATGGCACATATTTCTGCAGCTTCTCAAGAAAGACTGGGATGAGTCAGGCAGGGAGGCGGGCGGGCAGGCAGGCAGATGGGGGAGTCATATAAAGTCCAAGGCTGTTACAAAGAGGTTAACTCATGTAGTGGTTCACCTGAAGTCATGAAAAATGTAGAAGTACTCCTTGTGCAGGTTGTTTACCCACTCCTCCATTTCCTCTACATTTTTTCCTTGACTTGGTTTTGAAAGAATTCCCTCCATTGTGAAGCAGTGAATGTGACGCACTGCTTGTTTTTTGTAGTGCATCATCGTCTCTGTCTAATTGTGTATGTAACAGTGGTTAATGAGACGGTCACAGTCAGTGGAGTGAGTTACATATTGTATTAGACACACTGTGATTTGAGATGTAGAGAAATGATTGGAGAGTGCAAGTTAAGATGTGCTATCCTCCTGAGAATTTCCTATGACGTGACAAGATATTATGTAAAAAATCCCCAATGTCAGTGTGCAATTGTGTCTAACTCGATGCGCCTGTCTTAGAGCTGTTCACATTATTTCACATAGCTTCAGTATGTATGCCAATAATCAAACATATGGTCTACTGGTTAGATGAATCCAGATGAAAGTCATTGATATACTGTAAGTCTGTAACACGTACACTAGCATTGAGTTGTGGGCTCTGCTAAAGGCACTGACTTACTGCCCAAAACAGTATGCTTGACCTGCTCCAGGCACGCCATCCATGATAAGGAATAAACCTGTTAGCTTCTTAAAGTAGTGTCCACAGCATGCAGAGTGTGCACTGTGGCTGTGTCTATAAATAGATACGCACTGGAGAGGTAGAGCATACTTTTGAGCTTAAAATCAAATGCTATTTTCTGTTATTGTATTTTATTTTATACACTATTTTAATACTATACTACTATACTGTTTTTTATTTTGGTGGCCTGTTATATATGTATAGTTTAATAATATATGTATAAAGTTGATTAATTTCTCAATTAATCATTTGCTCAAACATTTTATGTTTACTGAATATTTATGTTAGTTTAGCAAAGTTATGCATATCTTGTGTCAGCTACAGTTTAACTTAATAATATGTGGTATCAACAACTTAAACATAAGAGTAATGAAACCAGCAAATATTCACATTTGAGAAGCTAGAACCAAAGAAATTGGGGTTCTTGTGTTTTTTTAATGAGTCTAAACATTAATTATCAAAATGTTTGCTGATTAATGTTCTGTCAATCAACTTATTGATTAATATTTGCAGCACTAATCAAGATAATGTAAATTTTCTGGAAATTCAATTTGAAAGTGTGTATAGATAAAATTACAAATGGCAATGTTTTTGTTATGCAGCATTTAAAACAAGAAAATCAATATTATTAATCATACAGTACTGCTAATGCACAATACTGTCGGCAGTGGCCTAATGAAAATAAACGTATGGCTAACTAGATGTGACAGACAGTATATATTCTCATATCAGCCAACCCTATTCATGCACAACATTACATACATGTCCACATCAACAGACAGATAAAATATCATTAGTTAATACCTGTAATATCTTTAAAATGCACGAGTAAAGAATGGTAGCATTGCCAGATTTAGCCATAATAGTTGGCATCTGAGGCACGAAGAACAGTGAGTCTGTTTCAGTTTGTGTTGCCTGAGGCATCTCTTAAAATCTGTCTGTTGTTTTTGTACCTGCTACCACGGCTGCGTGTCTTAAACCTCTGGAAACTAATGTGCCCGGCTAAATCTGTTCAGCCACTCTGATTGGCTGGCTAGGCCGCTTTCACTCCAGATGTTCATGGATTGGATTATGGAATTATCACTTCTCTTGTTGAGTCACAGTATTGCTTTTCCACACATAAACCCTTTGTGAAGCAACCACTCTTGTAATCACACGCGCAGATGATGGTCCATTTTCTTTAGGATTTGTAGAAGCAAATCGGTGTAAACATGGCTACACAATGAGGATATTTCATATATCACATCTTTTATCCAATGGATTACATTATTTTATGATGCAACACTGGACTCACATATTAATTGCAGTTGTAGTTGATGGTAGCGATACATTATATTGTGTAATATTGTGTAAAGGTTTTTCATAATCATTGACATTACGCGTCCATCTTCCAGTTAGTCCATGAAACCATTAAAGATAAATCGTATCAAGAATTGCATCACAATCATTCAGCTGTGGGCAGATGTAACCTAATGCTAATGCTGCTTTTGGCTTTGCGCTTAAGAGGAAATTGATGGTTGTGATTGTGTGCGTGTGTGTGTGTGTGTATGTGTGTGTGTGTGTGTGTGTGTGTATGTGTGTGTGTGTACAGACAGTGGGGTGAATGGTGGCAGGAGATTGGAGGAGAGAGAGAGAGAGAGAGAGAGAGAGAGAGAGAGAGAGAGAGAGAGAGAGCACAGACCATAATTAAAACTATTCCTTAAGCTCAAGTGGTTGCCAGGCAATGTGACCTTTACTCACACAGGTTCAGCTTCGGATGTTGAGCCTCGTAGTTAAATGAGACACATCATGCAGAGGCTGTGTGTGTGTCTACGTGTGTTTCCCGTACCTGTGTCTAATTGTATTCAAGTCGTGAACAGTATATATTACAGTATATTTTTATACTTTGTCCAAGATTTTGTTCATCCATGATAGTTTGTGCATACGTGCGTATAGTATATACAGATTATACCCATACACTAAGCTCTAGTGTGGGTTTGTTCATTTGCAAATTCATTAATACAGGCCAGATGCCTGGTTGGACAGCTTGCTCAAGTGTCTCTGTTGGTTGCCATGGTTACTGCCTCGCCGGCGTCATCACCATGTCAGCCATTTGTTGATTTTCTTTATGAAGTAGTAGAGTGAGGAGGCGTTGTTGGTTTAACATTGTGTTTATTCATCCTTTAAGACTTGTTCAACATGTCTGGTTCCAGTTG